CTTAGAGGACCCGATCCCGTTTACTTAGTACGTTTTTGAGAAACGGGGCCTATGGTGTAAAACCACCATAGGTGCGTTTTAGTAAAATTCTTACTATTTTTTTAAAAATTTTTATTTTTGAAATAAACTAATTCCGGCCAAAAATTATGTAACCAATTACAGTCGTCCCCCTCTACAGTCACTCTCTCTATAATCACATCATATAAAAACCTCTCTTTATCACACTCTATACTCAAAAACAAATTACTATTAAACATGTAAAAAACTATATACCTCTATATAAGCACATTTTTTTAAAAAGTTCTTAAGTAAACAAAACATGTGAATAGAGGGGATTTGACTGTATGTAATTTTGTAGATCACGCTGTTAGCCAATCAAATCGAAAGTCTGCCAGCAAAGGTTTAATTTAGAATCAGAGCTTTAAATGCATCAAAAACGGAACTTTATTCTTCCATTAAAGTGTTCTTCGCTACGCTTCGAACAATACTTATTATAAAGAGTATATTAAACATAATGTATAAATACTTACAATATAACAGCAATATAATCCGTTCATACCGATAAATACTATAACTTATTTTAAAAAAAATCTTATTTAAAAACAATTAAGATCGCTTTGTTATACGACCATATTAAGGTCGATTGTTATTTATTTCTACCCGGATGGTCCGAATTGCGAAAAATATACGGTATACAATTGTAAAGTAACGAGTTTGCAGCTAATTTAACTTTAAATCCATAGTACGACGGGTCACATGCTAGTCATATTTAATGCTTACTCGTATCAGATCGCAATTTCCACTTTCTAGTCACAACCACATCTTTTTTCGTTTTACCCTTTTCTGTAGATTGTGATGAGCCATCACCATGATCCTCATTGGTCTCTGCGGGTACTTTGGGACTTGTCGGGCGTTCATTTTCTGGGACAAAGCTGCCATCAGATGCGTCGCTGCCAGGATCACAGTCTTCACATCTCCAAACGTATCCTCTAATATTTTATAGGATGAATAAATATAGTTAGTATTAAAATAATAATATATATATATATATTAAGAATTGGATAGTCATACCCAGTCGGCATGGTACGGCGCGCAGGATTCATGCATGCTAAATGGTACCATTTTTTACAGAAATTGCACCGAATCATACGATGCACTTTATCTCTTCCTTTTAATAGCATCGAACTTCTTGCTTTTGTAGGAGTAATATAGGTGGCAGATGGTTGATCTGTCGAAGGCGGAGGTACAAGATTACAAACTGCACAAACAGGTTGGGGAATTTGTGGACGTTCAGGCTCATCTTCAGCAACGGCTTCTTCTAATTGCTCGGGAATCTTTTTAGATGTTCGTTTTCCTTTTGAAGTTTTTCGGCGTTTCTCAACGTCCACTTGTGCTTCTTGATTATTTTCTTCTTCTACTTTCCGTCTTTTAGTCGGCGAGGCTTCGTGAGTGACAGGCGTAGTGGTGTAAAAGCCAGCAGGTGTAGGAGTAGAGGTATATAGTGGAGTAGACTGTGGTACAATGCTAGATGTAAGATATGAAATTTTGGCAACAGTATCATTAGCGGGCGAAGTAGTGAATCCTCCAGGGACTGATGTCACATGAAGAGGATTCAATATTCCTTTCATTTGTGAGTATGATCCTATACAACTACCACCGGTAGAAGGACCAGCGATAGCTCCATTAGCAAAGGAAGTAGCAATAGAATTAACAAGATTGCCACTATTTCGTGATACTGAATTAGCGCTAAATTGACCATTAGCAAACATTGCAGGAGTAGAGTTAATGAAACTGCCGTTTATTGATGATCCACCAATATTTCCGATCCTATTAGAGCTAAACAGATCATTGATTGCATTGACATTAACGCTTGCATTGTTGGTAGTAAAGCCATCTGCATATTTAGCTAATCTATTTGCCAGATTATTTGTACCAAAGATAATGTTCTGATTGTTGTTATCAACTATATTAAGGTTGCTGCTATTATCCGTAGATATAATGCTTTCTACTGGGTTTAAGAGAGTGGCAATGCTTGTAATTTTATTATTAAATGGAAATTTTCCAACGTCTACGCCATTTGTAAAAACGTTCGAAGAACTAGGAAAAATATTGCTAGCAAAATTTTCACTTTTAAGAGAAATGTCATTATTTGTCTGTCTATCTCCAACTGCATCGATTATATCGATCAAATTAGTATCTTGGACACCTTGCATTGAATCAAAACCAGCGCCATTTACTGAATCCGTATTCTCCGAATCATTGTTAGAAGCTCTATTGGTTTTTTTAGAGTCACTGACTTTGCTCTTAGCAGGACGCCCTCTTTGTTTTTTCTTTGTCGAGGAACTGGGAACATCTTGCGCACTACTAGCGGTATTATCGGCTTGAACATCAGCAGGTTCTTTATATTTCTTTTTAGAAGATCCGGATGTCGAGGTTCTACTATTAGTAGTACTTCGTTTTTTTCCTTTCTTAGTCTTTTTCAATTTTTGCTCCTTTTCCCTCTGTGTTACAATTTGCTGTATCGATTTAATGCCTAAAGATGTTACACAACTATTATCAAGCTTATTAATTTGAATCTTTTGTGCAATATCTTTTGACTGATCCGTCCACTGCACTTCGGGTGTTGTTTCAAGAAATTTCAACATAGAATCGACGGCGGGATTATCAATAACTGAAGGACAACTCTTTGAATTACTCCGAGCAGCATTAATTGCCGGAGTATTCGGAAGATTTATCATTGATTTCGACAAGATAAGTAAGCTTTCGTTGACTTGTTCCAAATATTTTTCAATAGCAACGTTTTCTTTTTTCAAATTTGTTATCTTATTCGCATAATCTTTAGTCTGATTTTCATATTTATCCTTTTGTTCTCCGAGTCCTTGAATTTGAGAATTCATTTGAGCTATTTTTCTTCGACATCTAGCTATACGTTGTTCCCTCCGCACACGATATCTGGCATATCTGTCTTCAAATATTTCAAGAAGACCAGTGCCGCTATCAGAATATGATTTAATACGTTTTAATCGTGCCGAACTTTCTTCCTTTCTCACTTGCTCAAGAAATTTATCGCGTTTTCGGTACCACCTTTCCCACTCATTAAGCCTTGGCGGTCCGTGCGAACCATGTTGAGGACAATACTTTTTGAAATTAAAGATATCAGTTATGTGTATATAAAAGGTATGATAATATATAAGAATACTTAAAACAATAAAATGATTATATGTACCACAAAATAAGGATCTGAAATTTCTGGATCTTCTTCAACACACTCTAAAAGATTTAATGATTGCGCACATGTAACATGAAGCCATGATTTACATTCTCCTGCATCACAGTGAACAGTAGCGCCTTCTTGTGCATCACCTGGACCACATACGCAACACGGCTAAAAATAATGCTAACGATTTATAATTATGTTTTTTTTTTCCCCTCTTGAGTGAACCTCGCCTTTATTTCAAATGATATAGTTACCTTGTTCCAATTTTTTTGATCAATTATTTCTATTGTAATCTCGCTCATTTCTGCTGTTTTCCCAATCCACATACCAGGCATCCAGAGTGCACATACGAGGTGAACCCAGGTCCCAGCTTTATCTCCATCCTTCATTCTACGAAATGCGCCACTTTGTTTAGGACAAAGTGCGCATGTCTATTCGTATTTAAATCATTAAGGTGAAAATTCGAAATATATGCTATATACCCATATATTAATATTAATTTTTCATTAAATATCGCGCGTACCACAGTTTCACCAGGCTTTGCCAAACACTTATCGCAATACCAAGGTTCATCAGTAGCTGGTAAATGTACAATTCCATAGCATTCTTAATTGTACAGAATAAATAACGAATTATGAGTTTTTTTGAAAATTTGAAGATCTTGAGAAAACAAGTGTAAATGAGACAAAGCCCTTTATTTACCCTGATGACAAACAACCTCACAATCATCTCCATCACAATATACTAGCATGTTATCTTCAGTTGTCGAGTTTTCAAGACATATACAACAAACGCCTGGATCGTCGAGTTTCTAAATAATAATAATAATAAGTTAGAAATGTCAAATTATTATATTGAATAGTGAAGTAGCTAATTAAACAGATATACATGTATATATATAATATATCGTCATATATACCCATTTTTTCAAAAATTCTCTAATTTTTTCTTCATTATTTTCTTCAGGTGTAGGCTCGTTGTCTATATCGGCAAAGTCGGTATCAGAAATTTCGGTAGCCTCATTAACTGTGGTACTAAAGTGTTTATCACTAACAACAGTGTCGTCAGTATCGCTATTAATGTCGTCTTGGCCACTGCTGTCTTCGTTGACAAATTTATAATCGGAATCGCCAGGGTCTGCCTCGTCGAAAAGGTCTTCGGCTATGGCCCTCATTTTAACCTTACGTTTATTAGGGCCACGGTCCGCAACTAAAATATAAAATTTGATAGATTACAAAAATTTCATAAAAAAGGTCCATGTGAAAAAAAATAAATAAGTATAGTGAAGCGTCGAAAAATAAAGTATTTTGTATAGTGTTACGTTATTGTATAAGCCACCAGAAAACTTTAAAACTTACACATTTTAGAATATAAGGAACCACTTTCGTCCACGACTTCTTCATTTCCAGGGGTTTTTGGTGCTTGTGGATTCTTTTCGACAGGTTTGACGGTATTTCTGGGGGACTTACGACCCCTTTTAAAAGTTTTTTTATCTTTGGTATTCATTCCGGCAGATTTAGAGGTATACTTCGGAGATATAGAAATTTGAGGATTGATACGTCTATGATCAACAAAACACATTGTACGTATTACCGAAAGTTAATTGTTACTGCGGATTTCCGAAATACCCGGCAAAAACTATACACAACATTTCGAGCGCCAAAAGTGGCGGTGAACATACTACATTTAAATAAACGAAATAAAAGGTAGAAAATTCATTTAGAAAAAAAAAATGAAGTAAAAAGAAAATTAATTCACGCAAAAATTCTAATGCCATCATAAAATTTCTAAATATATGCATCGAGAAGCATGAACAAGAAACTATCAAAAAGAAAACCGACAGGTTGGCCGGCAGAGATTGAATATTTAACTAATAACATTTATGAACCAGTTTCGTTGAAACCAGTTCCATATAGTTTGCCGTTGCCAAAAGTATACCCAAGTCATCCTTTCACATCCTCACCTTTACCTCCGGTCGCGTCCGATCCAGCAATGCCTAATTCTTGGGTTAGAATCAAGTCGTTAAAAGAACAAAAAGACCACCCTGCTTTCCCAGGCTATGGACTATTTGCGACAAAAGAACTCAAGGAACTTTCTCTTATTATTAGTTATACTGGTGTAGTCACGACAAGAACAGTTGGAGGTGAAGAAAATAGTGATTATGTTTTAGGATTTGGCAGTCAACAATGTATTGACGGTTGGAAAAAAGGTACGTATGTTTAGGTCGGGTACAAAAATATTCGGTGGCTTGGTCACAAGTCATGTGACTTATATATTATTAGAAAATTTTGATATGCAATGAGAAGACTTGTAATGATTGGACGTCAAGTTGTCTTTTTTTTTTAGTTTATCATATGTAATATGATCGTGACAAGCCATAATTGCTAAATATTTCGCGCATTATTTTTTGTCTTCCAGGTAGCGAAGCAAGATTTATCAACGATTTTCGTGGAATCCTTTCAAAACCAAATGCAGCATTCCACGAATACATTGACTCTCAAAGTGGGCAGGTCAAAATGGGAGTTTGGGTCATGCCAGGGGCAGGAAAAATTAAAAAAGGTCATGAAATCGTTGTCAGCTACGGAAAAAGCTTCTGGCGAGAAAGAGGTATTTTAAAGGAATGAATATTGCCACGTTATAAAGTCATAAATAAAACGCATCATTTTATATAAACTTATTTTTGCATCAAGGATTCATGCACGTGAATGCGTAGTTGTTCTCAATCTGACGATTTTAAAAACATCACACATTTGTCATCATGCATATCCTTTCCGACATAAGTCTTAACATTCGCCTGCCTTTTTAACATTATCAAGTTATTTTTGCCATTGTCTTTAAAAGAAAATATCAATGCATCTGTAGTAACATAAAAACGCCTCAATGAAATAAAAAAACTTCCTAGGGCGCTGTACCGTAAATGGCCATATAAAAGACCCCCCACTAATATACCCGGGTCTAAACCAGGGTTAAAAATTTAGTGGAATGTAAGAGACCCGGTGTTTTTTATCAGTAACAAGAAGAAATCCACCCATTACTATACCCCCTCTCCGAACAATATACCCCCCGGGCAGGGTTGGCAATGGAGCCAATGGAGTTAAATGGTTATGCGAATGGAGCTCGAAAAACTAGTATCCATTGGCTCCATTCAGGGCTCCATTGGCTCCATTCGCAGCTCCATTGGGCTCCATTGAGCTCCATTGCCAACCCTGCCCCCGGGTATAATTCAAGTTTTTTTTAATTGGTGGAATGTAACATACCCGGGTCGTCTATATGGCTATTTACGGTATTTGGCAAAGTCTAGAGAAACTTCTTCATAAAAAGAAACGTTGATGCCTGTAACAAACATGAAACATATCCAAATACATAATTTAATGCTGAAAAACCTCATTTCAGCACATTCTTCTGAAAGAAACGGGATCGGAGCATTTGTCTGAATGCGTATGCAAAAGAGAGTTGATTGAAGAACTATCAAATCACGGGTCAAGATAATATAACAATCTGTTATTTATTTGATAGAAGATACAAAATTCACAAGAAAAGATGATAAATTTTTAGTGAGACGTATTAAATCAATCTATACAAACAAAAAAGAGGTGATGATTTATAAAAATACCATGGAAACTACCATTTCTCACTGAAAACAAAATAATTATTTACACATGACCGATCACGAGACTTATTGGTAATCATTTCGCAACGAAGCATTATCAGTTATTTCAATATATATATATATTTATAAATAACATTATCAACAGTGAATTTTCTTATTGTCGGGGCAATTTCTGACATTTTAAGTTAGATTTATTTGCCTTTGTAGATCTTGAAAGAATTAAAATGGTATCTTTTATCTAAAGGGTTCATCGTGAAAAAGATTAAACAAATTCATAGCAATAATAATAATTTTAATAATTATTTTTGTTTTATAATAACAGATGAAATAATACCCATCGACATTTTCAATAAGCTGAACACGACAGTACAGACAATGAAGTTGCTTGTTATTCTTGATCATGTGATCACAGAATAGTGCGGAATTATTATTTGTCGCGGATCATAATGAAATCGGATTAAAATGAAATGAGGGTTTCTATTTAACTCTCTAAAATCCATTTACCGGTATACTTGTTTATTATAAACTCTACCCTAAACTAACCTCTAAACTTAACCCTAACCCTAAAAATGCACCTCAAAAATTTTTATTTTTCGATGGTTTGTCTATTTTTTACATTGTACAATATTTCATTTCATTTTAATATTAATCCGTCACATTATTTACCACCGACGCGTTAATCACTGATTATGCTGCAAATGTGTCTGTGATCAACTTTCTTAATGAATGCTAAGTGTATTTTCACGCTTATCAACAACGCATACATACAGCATTATTATATTATTTGCACAGCACCTTAACAAGTGTCAATGCAATGTGAATATTGTTTTGTGGCCAATAAACTTTTTATTAATTTGTCCTTCTAGAAATTTTATCCTAAAAATAGGATAGTGAAAGTACAGAGAGAATATTTAAATTCTGATTCTTTAAACTTGTTTACTCCTATTATGATACAGTATATACGAGAAGAATTATATAGATACAATGCGTAATAAATTTCCTCTAAGAGTTTTTAAATTTCTGAAATTTAAATAGATTAATTACAAATATACGAAACTCCGTGGATCTGTAACATTTGTGCTCTTTTATTAATCATCAAACTCTACTTTATTAATACCATCCAAATATACTTTTAACACATCATCAGCCGTTGGTTTTAAAGCTCGGTTGTCTGTGCGTGTAATGTATTTCTGTGGAAAATATCTAGTGATAATGTGAGCAAGACCGTAATTTCGATATTTGCCTCTACCTCCTAACAACGCGTAGTAGGTAGAATATAGAACAGCGGCAAGAACAATAAACATGGTGAATACGGAAACAGGTTGAAGGAATGGTTGCTCGCGAGTCGTGGGTACTTCAAAACTTCCTGGAATAGAGTTCGAAAATGAATAAAACTAAAAGCATACAAAATTTGGTTTATCTAAATCATATATACCTGGTTTAAGATGAATAAGTCCAATTGCACTGTTATTTGTTCCAAAAGCATTAGATGCTACACCTATTTCAGATCGGAAATCCATTTGCCATTTCGTGGTTCCATTTAAAAACACATGTCTCTTCCAGAAAAAAGTGAATGCACGTTCACGATTGGCATCGGATTGTGTTAAGCTATAAGGATTCAATATTTGTGGCGTCTTGAGCGAAGAAAGTTCAGTAGCTGAAGCTTCACTGTCAGGTAAATCGAAAGGATTCCATATCATAAATTGCATCTTGGAAATTGTCGATGCGTTGAAGAATGAATATTGAATGAACAAAGCAGATTGGAAGGCGGTCCAGTTTTTTTGGAGGTATCACTGGTTTTGCAAGTAAGATTTGGGTATTTGTTTGAAAAACATAGCATCTAGTAAACCATCCATTATATAAATTATCTCCAGTAACATTTACGAATTTGATTAACTTGGGACAACCTATCGAATTATTGCCATAAATTGTACAGTTAAAATTATATTGTACATCGTCAGTGCACAAAGAAAAGGCCGGCCGTGGAAGACTATCGACATTTTCGAATGTTAATGTCGTATAAGTAAGATTTGATCTAGCTACATCAACTACTGTATTCGCGATAAGATATATTATGAGAATGATTGCAAAGAATGCTTGAAGAATAATTGTGATAAGCTTTCGTGTTTTCATTATTCAAGGATTATATTAAGAATTATATTAAAAAATCAGATTTAAACTAAGAATAAACAAATTTAGAGAAACTTTAGTAACAACAAAAGAGATGCCAGCTCTCTGTATTAGTGGGTTAAAGAAGGAACAAAATGAAAAAAAGGTCTTATTAGGCTTTTTCAGAAAATGGGACGTTTGAATCCATTTTGTTGATAAGGAAAAACCCAGTTTATTTTATATTAAATTTCATGAAATGGACATTTCCTTAATAGTTCTACAAAATTTCTATATTAATTGTAGTCACATTGTTTCGACTATCAAAGTCTTTCAGTGCGTCATCTTCCAACACAAATGAATGCAATTTCAAGAACAAAGGTAATTAATTTAATTACACACGTATGTATTAATCTTCCAAATATAGCAAATTATTGTATAACAAAGATCTTGAGATTGTTCTACATGTGCATAAAGATATTATTCTAATTTTTTTTTGCCGCAGTATTATACTATATATATATTTAAACCGTTAATTCAAACATTCAAACTCGCCATTATTTTTATAAAACTATTTCTTTGTAAAATTTTTTTTAAAATACAGTGCTATAGTTATACTGTATATAAGCTATACTATATATAGTATTAATAAACAATAAATTTATTTATTTTTAAAATTAAAAATTATATATAATTATACTGTATATACTGTATATTATATATATATAGAATAAGTTATTTGTTACTTAAGTTCTTTTGTGTTAGGGTGAGTTAGGTTGGGGTTAGGTTTTAGGCGCTTATATAGTAAAATCGCTCAAGGAAAACTTTTTGTTAGAGTATAAAAAGTGGTTTCCTATGCAGATTTAGAGTTATAAGCGATTTTTGACGAAACGAACTTAATTTTTTGTTCGTGCCACGTTATACCTGATCATGAAATCTGATTGGTTTGCGCCGAAATTAGTGATATAAACCATTGTCATGTAACGAATAACTTAGCTCTTATTAAATATATATACAGTATATATATATTTTTTTGTTAATACTATTCAGAAAAAAGGGAACCACATTTCACTGACAATTACTTATCGACAAGTTCATTTCACCGACAGTTTATTTCACCGAAGCTCATTTTACAGACAAAGTAATTCTGGTCAATATCATTAGGGTTAGAATTAGAGTTATAGTTAGTGTAATTTATGAAAAAAAACTTTTCGGTGAAATAGACTGTCGGTAAAATGAACTTGTCGACGAATAACAGAATAATTGTCGGTGAAATGTGGTGTCTATAAAGCGATTGTCGGTGAAATAATACGGATCCCGGAAAAAACAAGCTATAAATACAAATAGATAAAATAATTTTTTTATAATTACAAAAATATATAATATTATTTTGAATTTTTTATTTGTAATTAATTTAACCTTAATTTTGTTTATTTTGATACTAGTATATAGGCTGCAACAAGCTGCAATTAGTGATTTTGGCCAATAGTAAAAAAAATCGGCTAAAGAAAATTATCAGCTTAGCCAGTCAATTTTTTAAAATTGGTTGATCGATTTAGTATGGTCAAAAATATGCCATTACAAAAATTTCTGATATGGAAAATAAATAAACCTTAAAGTTGAACCAAAAATTTTTGTAAATTCTAAATTAAAGAACAAAATTAAATAGTACAATAGGTTTGAACAAGCTAACTAAGCTGATAAAATTTATTGGCTTGGTTATAGCTAAAAAATTAAGCTTGGCCAAAATCACTAGCTGCAGTTAATTTAAAAAAAAAAGGATTTTAATTTTATAATTTAATTAGTAATTTATTATTCAATAATTACAAAATTTTAATATACTATCCCTTAAACTGTAGGCAATTCCAGGCAAATTTGCCTGGAAAATTGCTATAAATTTGCTTATGATTTACTTTTTT